GGATGGCTTTAACAAACAGGAGTTTATTCTCTCACAGTTTGAAGGATTTAAGTCTAAGTCCAAAGTGCCAGGCTCTAGGGGTTTTGTGAAAGCCCCTCGACCTTGGGCTTCAGCTCTGCCTCTTGCTCCTGGCCCACTGAAGCTAGAGGCATTTCTTCATTCAGACAGCTACTGGCTGCTGAGGCTAACAAGCCCAAGGTCAACAACAACAACAACAAAATGGCACAGTCCTGATGTTACCAAGTCACACGGCAGGCCATTAATTCAAGTCCATTGTAAGTCCCAAGGTCGCAGAGCATGGCAGGCTGCTGAACAACGACATGGCTACATGCAGGGTCCAAGCATGCCATAAGCTAAAGACTAACCCCAAGGCTTCTCCTTATATACAGGAAGCAGACCACATCCCAAAAGCAGCTACTCAGCTACTTGTGTAGATCCCACCATGGAGTTGATTGCCAGTCTCATTATGGGGAATTACTACCACCAGCTGCCCAGCCACTCAACCAGGCTCAACCAAGTTGGCATGCAAATTTAACTACTACATACACATACACACATATATACACATACACACATATATACACATACATACACACACATATATAGACACACACACACACATGTTCTCATTGTTAGGTGTCATTGGGTCAGTTCCAATTCATAACAACCCTATGTACAAGATAACAAAACATTGCCCAGTCCTGTACCATCCTCACAATCTTTGCTATGCCTGAGCACATCCTTGAAGCCATTGTGTCAATCCATCTCATTGAGGGCCTTCCTCTTTTTCACTGACCCTCGACTTTACCCAGGATGATGTCCTTCTCCAGGGAATAGTCCCTTCTGACAACATGACCAAAGTAGCTGAGACAAAGTCTAGCCATTCTCACTTCTAAAGAGCATTCCAGCTACACTTTTCCAAGACAAATTTATTCATTCTTTTCTGGCATCTATGGTATTTTCAATATTCTTCACCAACACCATAATGCAAATGCATCAACTCTTCTTGGATTTCCTTATTCACTATCCAGCTTTCCCATGCATATGAGCAAATGAAAATACCATGGCTTGGACAAGGCACACCTTAGTCTTCAAAGTGACATCTTTGCTCTTTAACATTTTTAAAAGAGGTCTTAGGCAGCAGATTTGCCCAGTGCAATACATCGTCTGATTTCTTGACTGCTGCTTCCATGGGCATTGATCGTGGAGTCAAGTAAAATGAAATCCCTGAAAATTTCAGTCTTTTCTCCATTTATCATGATGTTGTTTATTGGCCCATTTGTGAGGATTTTCTTTCTTTTTTTTTTTTTTTTAATGTTGCGGTGTAATCCACACTGAAGGTTTGTAGTCTTTGCTCTTCATCAATTAAGTGCTTCAAGTTTTCTTCAATTCTTCTCTATCTCCACACACACACACATAAAGAGATACATACATGCATACATATATACATAAGGGAGAAGGGAAAATTCTTCTTGACAGTAGAAAGCCAACTAATAAATGTAGAATTAATGATGGAATTAGACAACCACCATTTGTCAATGATCATAATAACAGAGTCAGGCAAGAATTATTGATGGATGCTAAAACTAGTTCAAATGTTTATTTGAAGCGGGCACTGGTGGTTCAATGGTAGAATTCTCCTTTTCCATGCAAGAGACCCAGGCTAGATTCCCAGTCAATGTACCTCATGTGCTGATACCACCTGTCTGTCAGTGGAGACTTGTGGTTATGATGCTGAATAGGTTTCAGTGGAGCTTCCAGATTAAGACACACTGGGAAGAAAAGCCTGGTGATCTACTTCTAAAAATAAGCCAGTGAAAACCCTGTGGATCACAATGGTCTGATCTGCAACCTATCATGGAGATAGAGCACGACCTGGTAGCATTTCCTTCCACTGTGCATGGGGTTACCACGAGTTGGGGGGCTGACACTACAGCAGCTAACACAGAAGTTTGAAAAGTAACAGTCTCAACTTCCTTCCCACAAGACACTTATTAATTAGAAAGAAAAACAATAACCTTTCATTGCAGAGAAACCTGGAAGACACCACTTTAACATGTGATCAGAATTAATGTTACCAATAATGGGAACAAATCGATGTTACATGCCTCATCATCTGATACGGTAAGAACACAATGTCACATCGAAGGTATTCTAGTCAAGTATGTATAACCTGAATTTAATCATGAGAAAGCATTAAACAAATTCAAAGAAACATTCTACAAAATAACTGGCCTGTGCTCTTCAAAAATATTGAGGTCATGAAAGACTAAGTACCTTTCCAGGTTAAAAGAGATTAAAGAGGTAACATAACCAAATGAAACTAATGATTTGGAATATCATTTTACTTATTAAGGACGATTCATGGAATCTAAATATTTTGGTTCCCCAGTGCCATTCTAACAGAAAATACCACAGGTGGGTGGATGGCTTTAACAAATACGAATTTACTCTCTTACAGTTTAGGAGGCTAGAAGTCCAAGGTCAAAGTGCCAGCTCTAGGGGCTGGGTAAAGGTCCCTCCACCTTGGGTTTCAACTCTGCCTCTTACTCCTGGCCCACTGGAGCTGGAAGTGTCTCTTCACTCAGGCAGCTGCTGACTGCTGAGGCTGACAAAGCCAAGGTCGACAAGTACAATGGAACAGGGCCAAAATTATCAAACCACATGTTAGGCCATTAATTCAAGTCCTAAGATTGGCAGACAACATGGCAGGCTGCTGAACAACAGCTCAGCTACGTGCAGGATTCAAGTGTACCAAAAGCTAAAGACCTTCCTCAAAGCTGCTGCTTATACACAGGAAGCAGGCTGCATCCCTAATGGAACTACTCAGCTGCTCCAGTAGATTACTAGTCTCATCATCTCATCATGGGGAATAACTACATCCAGCTACCCAGCCACTCAAAACCAGGCCCAGCCAGGCTGACACACAATTTAACTACCACACTAAATAAGATCTATAGATAAGATAACAGAGTTGTACCAATATTAATTTCCTGATTATGATGATTGTACTGTAGCTATGTAAGAGAATGTTCTTATTTATAGGCAACAAACACTGGACCATTTAAGGAAAGAATTCATGCTTGCAACTTCTTCTCAAACAGTCAAAAATACATATGTGTACATACATACCCTACACATAAAGAGAAACAATGAGAAAGGAAACAATGAGAAGTAATTGTCATAAGTGTGTAATGCAGGGAATCCAGATGAAGAGAATATAGGGATTCTCTGTATTACTCTTTTCTGTAAATTTGAAATTATGCCAAAATGTTAAAAAAAGATTCATTTAATAATCCTATAAAATTATTTGTATTAATTCTATAGATAATACTTTAAGAAAACTAAGGAGTTAAGTCCTACAAGCAAGTCTACCAGTATCAAAGATTTACATGGGTCTTTGCAGAATCATAATGGCCATTTCTAGTCATAATGGCTATTGATTCCTTAAAGCATATTGGTTTAAGGTATCAAAATAGATGTTCTCATGCTTTAGTGCTGTTTCTTTTGCAAGAGTATTTAAATAGCTGAGGGAAAAACAATTCCAGAAACTGGCCCTGGAGAACAACATGGTGTAGCCACAGATAATGGAGGTTCCCTTGACCCATCCAGAGTTTCCCTGGAGCATCACTGCTATTCTGGACTCTGAAGGAATAGCTCTAGGCTCCGGGGTTAGGATATATATAAGTCCTTTGGAGGAACAATTTTTTTCTTTCATAACAACTTTCATAAAACAAAATATTTATTGATAATTTCCATATCCTAATCACTAGGGCATGGTCTGGACCACAGCTATCCAGTATGTATATAAAGTGAAACATAAATATTAACCATATATTAATTTAAAATGTTCTAGTAGCCATACTAAAAAATGAAAAGGAAGAAAATGAAAGTAATTTTAATAATATATTTTGCTTAATCAAAATATATACAAATGTTATCATTTCAACAATCCATAAAAATTAAGATATTTTACATTGTTTTACTCATACTAATTCTTCAAAATACAGTGTACATTTTGTACTTACAGCCCATCTCAATTCAGACTACCCATATTTTGAGTACTTCATAGAAGTCCTATGTGGATTGAGGCTACCATACTGAACAGCTTACCTCTAAGACTTTGGGAAATACAAATATGCATAAAACACCATCTCTATTCTCAGTAATCTTATAGTCCTTCGGGATGCTGACATGTGCACATAGTTTATAATATGATGTTGTAAGTATTGCTATCAAAGAGCCCTGGTGAAGTCAGCAGTTGGAACCCACCAGCAGCTCCATGGGAGAAAGATGTGGTAGTCTTCTTCCATAAAGATTTACAACCCCTGCTCTGTCCTACAGGGTTGCCATGAGTCGGAATCTACTTGATGGTAATGGGATTGGTTTTGGGGTTTTAAGTGTCACAAGAGAAATATGAGTAAAGAATCATAAGAGCAGAGAACAAAGAACAATTGTTTATCTTAGTCTGAAGTGTGAGGGACTTTTAAGGACTTACAGAGAGAAGGTGACATGTGAGTTGTAATGCAATGCTTTGATCCTAGTCTAACTCCTACCAATTAACTGTTAGATTTAATCATGTATAAAGTTTTAAAATATTTTGCCTACTCTCCTCTCTCACCCCCACTGACAAACTTAACTAAGAGCCTCTTCTAGGCTGCCCCAATGGACTTCTTGACTTTTTTTAAGAAAGATTCTTCAAAATCCCTACTCCAGTCACACACTAGCTCTATCCACAGACAGCACGCTTGAGTTACTTGAACAGTATTCCTTCTTGACATCACAAACAAATTTTTAAGTAAGCTTCCTGCTTTGAAAATCCATAGGCTAGAAAAACATGACAATTGATTTAGAGTGAACCAGATAGATGGTATATCATGCCCTGGAAGGGAAAGACAGTAAAAAAAACCACACCCAAGGAAGATGTTCCCTCCAACGTCTGTCTCTGTGAAGAACTGAGATCCCCAAGAGTCATTCTTAGACTTTCTCTGCAGGTTAATGTCTTTGTCCATTGATTTGTATTATGTATTCTGTTAAATAATAAAAATACTTATTTTTTTATTATATTCTGTTAAATAATAAAAAAATACAAGGCAATAATTTTTTACTAAGTACATATTTGCCTTTATCACAGGTTTGGATATTTGATATTCTTCTATCAATTTCTAAATAGGTTACAAATGAACAAAGTATTAGTTACAAGAGTTAAATTTCTATGTAGTTCTATTTTGGTTATTTTTTTTTAATGTGTTGTTAATTTCATGTTTCTGTATTTTAGGCCACTGAAGCTCAATAAATGACCAATTTGTGGCATAATTAATTATCAATTTTTTAAATTCTTCAGTAGATCATTGCAAGTGTTATACAGTCCAAATGAGCAAATAATAACATTAAACAGAATTGGTGCTTGAAAAAATAGACTTTCTTGTTTATACATGGAAGGGAACTTTCTTTGTTGGTTACCAGTGATAAGGGAGTGGTGGGGAATTCCTAGATAGGTTGAAAAAATGTGTGTGTGTGTGTATGTATGTATGCCTATGTATATATGTGTGTTTGTGTATATATGTATGTGTGTGTGTGTATATGTATGTATGTATATATAGGAGCTCTGGTAGCATAGTGCCTAAGGCACTTGACTGCTAACCAGAAGGCTGCTAACCAGCCACTCCTCGGAAGGAAGGTTGGGCAATCCTACTTCCGTAGTGATACTGCCTCGGAAACCCAAGGAGAGGTCACTATGAGTTGGGGCCGACTCGATGGCAAATAACAACAACAACAATATGTGTGTGTGTGTGTGTGTGTATATATATATGAATGCATGTATGTGTGTGTATACATATACACACATATGTATGTGTGTATGTGTGTGCATACACCCCCCCCAAAAGGAGCTCTGATGGCATAGTGCCTATGGCATTTGACTGCTAACCAGAAGGCTGGCAGTTCAAACCCACCAGCCACTCCTCAGAAGGACGGTTGGGCAATCTACTTCCGTAGTGATCCTGCCTCGGAAACCTAAGGAGGGGTCACTATGAGCTGGATCCAACTGATGGCAGTGCATTTGATTTTTGGTTTGGGGGTAGGAGGAAGGGGGAAGCTTTTGTTTGGGGGGCATTGAGTTTATTCTAATGGTGGTGGGATATTTTGGAAAAAGATAGCAATAATGGTGGCACAACATGAAAAATGTCATCAATGACCCTGAGCTCTAAATGTGGAAGTTGTTATGTTGGCAAATGTGTTGTTGTGTATGTTTTAACCACAGTAAAAGTAAAAAAAAAAAAAGTTTCTTACCAAGAATATCGGTTCTCCAAATGGTGAAAAATCAATCACATTAACTTTTACTGGTCTTAAACCATGTTGTTGGGGTTTGAACAATTTAGGAGATACTCTTAAATCTTGTCTTGCTCCATGACTTATAAGACCCTAATAATAAGAAGAAGACCAATGGTGACTAAAGAAAAGTATTCAGGAGTAAGGCTGAATAAAGCTACTATTCTTGAAACAATTTAAATTAGATTATAATAAAATCAAAGCAGAAGTTAATCTTTAATGAAGATAAATATCAGGCAACTCTATGAAAGGAAAAGAATGAATTATAGAATGAAACTTAAAATATTACTCACCATGTCTGTGCCAACAATAAAATGATTAGGATCTGAAGGCAGAAACTTAACATTCAGTGTTTGTGCAATCCCCCAAAATGCATTATCTTTATGGGAAAGACTGAAAAGAAATATAAAGAAGAGTAGATGGATTGTTCTGAAACTTTTAAGGACAATGACAATACTGGACACTTATTTAGCAATTATTGCATGACATTAGATTTACAACAGACCAGCAGTGTCAGTAAGGGGGCATTATTAGTAAGAACATATGCCCTAACACTGTCAGTGAGGGTGACACCAAAATAACTTGAGGGTCGGCACCACAGGGGAAGGGACCACCAAGGCAGAGTAGTCACTTGGGTTGGTGTCATCTGTCATCCGGTGAGGTAACTTGTCACCACCACCCCCGACATGATCCACCAGTAAGGGTATGGGTAGGTGGGCCACAGCATTCATTGGGCAGAGAGAAGGGTATAATGCCTTGGTCAGTGGGAAAGAAGGAGCTTTAGGGATCTGCAGGGGAAAGGGGTGGGAGGGACAGGGCCAAGCTGCTTGGCCCTGCATGGGGCAGAGCAAGGCAGCTCCACCTATAGCAGGGTTCACAAGCTGGTCCCACCCACAAGAACGGTAATACCATGAGTTACCGCACTGGATCCCATGAACCTTAGTGATTTCACTGTAATAGACTATGAAATGTATGCTGTTGTTGTTATGTGCCATTGAGTTGGACCCGACTCATAGCGACACCTCCTTGGGTTTCCGAGGCAGTATCATTACGGAAGTAGATTGCCCAACCTTCCTTCCAAGGAGTGGCTGGTGAGTTTGAACTGCCAGCCTTCTGGTTAGCAGTCAAGTGCCTTAGGCACTATGCTACCAGAGCTCCCATTAGATGTGTAGTAGCCCATATCATGTTTCCTCTGATTCGTAACCAGTTTATTTTCTATTACCACATTTTTGATAATTTCTTCATTATCTATCCTCCTATTCACTAATTCTTTCTTCAGTTACTCTAATCTGCTATTTAACCATTCAGTAAGTATTAGATTAGGAGCCCTGGTGGCACAGTGCATAAGGCATTTGATTGCTAACCAAAGGTTGGCAGTTCAAACCCATGAACTGCTCTGCAGGAAGAAGATGAAGCAATCTACTTCTGAAAAGATTTATAACCTTAGGAATCCTATGAGGGGCACTATGAGCCAGAATTGATTTGATGGCAGCGGGTTTGGTTTGGTTTAAGTACTCCTCGGAAGGAAGGTTGGGCATTCCTAATTCCGTAGTGATACTGCCTCGGAAACCCAAGGAGGGGTGGCTATGAGTCGGGGCCGACTCGATGGCAAACAACAACAACAAGTATTACAGAGATGACAGCTTCATTTCTAAAAATGTCTTTTAGATTTTATAATTACTTCAAGTTCTTGGAGTGCTAATCCTATTAATTATGCCATAGTATATTGTTCCTTATGTTTGAAATTTTTGTTTGCGAATTCATCTTCAGCACAGACTGTTTTCCTATGGAAATATTGTACACCCTAGCTTGTGAAAGTACCTCTAGCCTACCAAAGAGTTTTACCTATGCTTTTATGGTAAACTCACTGAAAGGGTTCACTGGTGTAGGACTTTTACGTTAACTTCTCACTTTGCAGTTTCCCATACCACACCCAGAGCTTGGGATTTCAGATTCTTTGAAGCTTCTTTGTCTTTCCTAGGTTAGGAGTGAGGCTTTTTTGGATTTCTCATTCACTGAAGAGGCATGAGTCTGGTATTTTTCTTTCTTCAGGTTGTCACACAATTTGCTGACAAGCTTACCACTCCGTGCTTTTCTTTGTTTACCCTGCTTGTTTCTGGCATTTAAAGATTTTCCTTTCTTTATTTTTAAAACTATAGCTAACTTTATAACAATAAGATTTTTTATATAAAGTTTTTACTTTACACAGTATATTTGTTTGTAACAGGAAAGGGGTCCTTGTTAGTTCCTTCTGCCATGTTGTCATAGTCAGAAGTTAGGAACTCATTTTCCTTTTCAAGTTCTTCTTCCTCCACCTACCTTGAAAGAACAAACCCCAGTTTTGCATCTGTGGGTCTCTTCTCAAAATTATCCTAAGGACTACAAATATCTCTTATAAGCTGATGGCTCCCAAATCTGTGCTTCCAGCTGAGATCCCTCCTGTGGAGCCAACTGCCTCCTGGACATCTCCATGAACACTCTTGCTCAGCACATCCTAAACTGAACTATTTCCTACATACCCTCGAACTCCTACAAACCTCTTTTTCCTATTATATTCCTTATCATGTGAATGGTACTCAGTGATCAAACTAGATACTTTTCAGGGTAGCAAGCAGAGCAATCTAGGCTTTTCCCTCTCAATCATTCCTACAATTACTCACCAGCTTATTTCAGTACTACCCTTTTACTTTATACCCTTTTTTCCATTTCCACTATTACTGACTCAGTATGGATTACTATAATAGCATCCTAACCAGTCACTCTAACTCAAGTTTCCTTTCCTGTATTCTGTATGTACAATGTTGCCAACCTAATAATTCTAAATCACATATAAGACATGTCATACCTTGGCTTAAAATCTTTCAATGGCTATCTATCGTCTTCAAAGGAGCTCTGGTAGCATAGTGCCTAAGGCATTTGACTGCTAACCAGAAGGCTGCCAGTTCAAACCCACCAGCCGCTCCTCAGAAGGAAGGTTGGGCAATCTACTTCCATAGTAATATTGCCTCGGAAACCCAAGGAGGGGTCGCTATGAGTCGTGTCTGACTTGCCGGCATATAACAACAACAACATCTTCAAAATAATATCTAAACTCCTTAGCACAGCAAAGAGGACTCTTTAGGGTCTAGCCAGTGACTCATTCTCCATCTCTTGACATCAAACCTACTGGCAGTTTCCTAAATGCATCATTCCTTTTCATACATACTAAAACCAGTTGCCATTGGGTCAACTCCAACTCATGGTTACCCCATGTGTCAGAGCAGAACTGTGCTCTATAGGGATTTCAGTAACTGACTTTTTGGAAGTAGATTATGAGGCTATCAGGGTGGAGTCAAACCTCTAACCTTTTGGTTAATACCCAAGTGTGTACCACTCAGGAGCATACTGGCATTCATATACAATGCTCCCTCTGATAAGAAGACTCCTCTTTGTCTAACTAACTCCTGTTTTTCAAAGAGTCAGCTTAGTTATCACTTCTCTATGAAATTACCACTTCACTCTATTCCCTGCCCCCATTCTTTCCCCTCCTTTGAGCTTCCTCATGCCCTATTTATACCTCTTACATAGCACTTAACATATCATATCATAATCACGGTGGACATGGATATGTACCATCCAGATCCTGACACTTCAGTGAAGTACTTGTTTTCAGAGATCTAAGTAGGCTAGGAGTGCTGAAGACAGACAGCTGTCAGCCCTTCAGGGATTACCTCAGCCACTTCACCCAATGTTTCATCTCCACTGAGGAAGCCCATGTTCGATGACTGATCAGGGTGACAGTATAAAGTCCTGTCCATTCTATCCCAGAACTCATTGGACATCAGAAGCTGTTGTTGGGTCTTTGACACAGCTCAACTCCTCTCTGCCCAATGCTGCTTCCTTCCCCGCTTTCACAGATGTTGACTCCAAGACTCCTTAAGAAACATCCTGCACACTCAATTCCATTTCAGCATCTTCTTTGTTTGAAAATCAGAAATTCTGTAATAATAATGTTTTACACATCTGCCTCCTTATATGAAGAAAGACATTCTTGCTACCTAGCCCAAAGTTGGCACACAGAATATACTCAGTACACCAGGTCTGCTGGTGTGAGAGCCTGGTGAGACCCTGAGACTATGGTCGTCCCTAGTTACGCTTCAGGTCTGGAACTAAACTCATTACTGTGCTTCCAGCCAAACAATAGACACACATATGGGGTGAACAATTACATCAAGGAGATACACTCCTTGGAGCTATCAATCATGGGAGAACAAAAGGGCAGTGTTTCCACAGGGAGAAACCTGGTGGGGAAAGGGATGCAGGAGGGGGAGTGTATGGAAGGTAAGGACACAAGTAAGAAGTAACTATTGGAAGGAAGTAGGAAGAGAGCTGTTACATTGTGGGGAACTGCAGTCAATGTCATGAAACAAAATATGTATAAACTGCTGTATTGAAAATGAATTTTCTCTGTAAACTTTCACCCAAATCATAATAAAAATTATTTTTTTTTTAAAAAAAAGAATAAACTCAGTACAGTTTATTGAATAAATGCTGGTGAATATTTATTATACATAGCTCCGGGGAATGCACTGCTAGGATTTTCGGAGGGGAATAACTGACATCAGATACCTTAGATACATTCCTTTAAAGGGTGTACCATACAATAAAGTAAAGGAAAAATTCATACTTAAAAAAACAAAGATATAAAATGGTAAGGAAGTCTTAAAGAAATTCAATAAAGGAACTAAATGAAGAAATAGTGGGATCAGTAGACCAAACTGTGACTATCCAGAAATCATTTTATTTGACTCTGTAACACACTGGAGATGACTTTCTAAAAATATAACTGATTCATTTTCATAATTGTATTTAAACCAAAGTTTACTTAAAATCTCTGAGCATGTATCATTCATTATCTACAACTCAATAGATATTCTGTGTGATGATGAGGAGCAGACTAACATAACATATTTTTCATGCTGATAATTACTACAGATTGCAGTAAACAGCAACAAGTGAAATCTTTAGGTAACAAATTAACAAGGAACATAAAAATACCACAAATGAAATTAGCATATTCATTAACATTTTTATGTGATTTTAAGTTACAAGAATACAAGCAGAAATCTAAATTACTGAATTAAATGTTCATGTTAATGTTTCTGGTTCCTGAAAATTATCTAATTTAACTTCCAGATTGTATTAAAAATGCATTAAAAATAATCAAATAGTATCAATTTATAAGGCAGAAAATATTTCAATCAAAGAAAAAATATTCCCTCACACTTGGATGTTCTATTTGTTACAATGACTTATTAACAATAACCTAATTAAAAAGAAAAAATTACAACGTGAGAAACAGATTTCTTCATTGCCAAAATGGTTAACGCATTTATTGTATACGCAATTACCTAATGTTATTTTTCTCCTGTAGGAAAGTGATCTTTGTAAGATAAAGCAAATCACTTTAGTCTATTAAAAATGGCAAGATTCCTTACCTGTTATTCAGCTGAATCACAGAGCTATGTACTAATTTTATCCTCCCTCCAGGTATTAAACCTAAAAATAGACAAATCAAAAATAAAGGCACTTACAAATAAAATTCTTAAATAAAAATGTAATGACAGTTGCCTGCAATCATTTTTCATTGCTTAAATACCTCTAGGAATTGACATTAAAATATAAATTATTAAACAATTATTTCTTTCCTTACTGCAGGGTTCATGTAAATTGCTTTAGGATAAAAATTAAGAATTTGTAGTTCAGGCATTTATGAGAAAAAAGATTAGTGGAATAAAGATCAAGAAGGCTTTACATTTTAGATTTGATAAAATAAAATAATAAGGGCAGTAGGCTGAGGAGGGGAATCATTATTTAACACACCTTAAATTGACAACAGCAAAAACTTTACTGTAAATGTCTATTTATGTTTTTATGCTAATCAGAAACATTCCAGGATTTCCTTCCACACAATTTCAAAAATACATTTAAGAGTTTGTTTGGCTTTGCTGCAGATCATATAAAGATGTATACTAGCTCCTCCATTCAAATGTTTACTCACTTACTGCTCTATCCATCTCCTGAACATAAGCTAGCTCCTCCATTCAAATGTTTACTCACTGCTCTATCCATCTCCTGAACATAAGCTTCTCTAACTTCAATTTCTCAAACACTGTTGTTGTTGTTATTGTTATGTGCCCACGAGTCGGACCCGACTCATAGCGACCCCTCCTTGGGTTTCTGAGGCAGTATCACTATGGAAGAAGATTGCCCAACTTTCCTTCCAAGGAGTGGCTGGTGGGTTTGAACCGCCAGCCTTCTGGTTAGCAGTCAAGTGTCTTAGGCACTATACTACCAGAGCTCCTTCTCAAACACTGCAGAGGTAAAATCTTTTTTTAAAAAAAAAATGTGATTTGGGTGAAAGTTTATGGAGCAAATTCACTTCTCACACAGCAGTTCAAATACACTTTGTTCATGACATTGACTACAATTTATCACAATGAAACAGCTCCCTTCCCACTTCCTCCCCATAGTTACCTCTTCCCTGTGTCCATCCCTCCATGCACTCCTGCCCCTTGAGCTGTCTCCCTGTGCATACACAGCTTTCTATTCTCCCATGATTGTTCTCTCCAAAGCACACTACTGTTCATCATTGGCCAGCGGTAGAGTAAGTGTTGGCTCTCACTCAGTAAGTGGAGCTGCAGGAGGTACAGCCCCTAGAGCCTGGCACTTTGAACTTGAACTTAAAGCCTCTTAACTTAAGAGAACAAACTCCTGTTTGTTCAAGCCATCCCATTTGTGGTATATTCCTGTCAGAGTGGCACTAGGTAACCAGAAAAGAATATGGTACTGAGAGAGTAGGGTGGTGCTTTGACAGATACCTAAAATGTGAAAACAGGAGTGGAATGCGTCCTTGACCTGAGACACTAGCAGAGAGACCCCGGCATATGGCATGAAAAACAGCAGGAGCAGAGTCAAGAGACCAGCATGAGAGACAGCAGGAGCAGAGCCCAGAGACCGGCATTAAACAGCAACACGCTTACCAGCCCGCGGAGGAGAAAGCCAGGTGCCACTGGGTAGGCGGCTTCCTGGCGAAGTTGGTTGCCTTTGGCATTAATTGGCAGAAGCAGAGAGACCAAGGAAATGGAAGCAGAGCTGCCTCAGCCTCAAAGGGTAGGACCATGGCCTTTGGGAATGGAACCACCACAGCCCCCTAGGTTTCAAAGACCCAGGCCTTCACCAACTTGGTTCTGGGGTGTGGGGCTGCTCATTCATGTGAGCCAGTGGGATGGAGCCATAGCTGATGCCCAAGAGTGAGGGGGAAGGGCTGCCATTCCCAAGAAGGAGAGGAATGGGGGCCGGCCAGGCCAAGCTGGTGAGGTCAGAACTTAGAGCAACCAGGGGACTGGAGCAACCCAGTGAGAGAGATCTGTATAGATGCCAAGTTGACAAGGGGTTGTTGTTGTTGTTGTTGTTGTTATGTGCCGTCGAGTCGGCCCCGACTCATAGCGACCCCTCCTTGAGTTTCCGAGGCAGTATCACTACGAAGTAGGATTGCCCAACCTTCCTTCCGAGGAGTGGCTGGTGGGTTTGAACCACCAGCCTTCTGGTTAGCAGTCAAGTGCTTTTAGCCACTATTTACCAGAGCTCCTTGACAAGGGGTAGAATTGTAATAGTTCAGTGTGTCAACTTGGCTGGGCCTTGTTGAGTGGCTGGGCAGCTGAATGTAGTATTCCCCATGATGAGACTAGCAATCAACTCCACTGTGGGATCTACTGTGAGCAGCTGAGTAGCTGCCTTAGGGATTGTGGTCTGCTTCCTGTATATAAACAGAAGCCTTGGGGAATGGTCTCTAGTTTATGACACACTTGGACCCTGCATGTAGCTGTGTCATTGAGCCTGCCATGCTCTGCCGACCTTGGGACTTACAATGGACTTGAATTAATGGCCTGCCATGTGGTTTGGTAACATCAGGACTGTGCCATTTTATTTGTCAACCTTGGGCTTGTTAGCCTCAGCAGCCAGTAGCTGCCTGAGTGAAGAGATGCCTCTAGTTTCAGTGGGCCGGGAGCAAGAGGCAGAGCTGAAGCCCAAGGTCGAGGAGCTTTCACACAGCCCCTAGAGCCTAGCAGTTTGAACTCAGGCTTAAAGACTCCACACTGTAAGAGAATAAACTAGTGTTTGTTAAGGCCATCTCATTTGTGGTTTATTTTTGTCAGAGTGGCACTAGGTAACCAGACCATGATGTCACCCATTTGATTTCTTCTTCATGTTATTTGTTGTTGTTGTTGTTATGTGCCGTCCCTTGGGTTTCGAAGGCAGTATCACTATGGAAGTAGATTGTCCAACCTTCCTTCTGAGGAGTGGCTGGTGGGTTTGAACTGCCAGGCTTCTGGTTAGCAGTCAAGTGCCTTAGGCACTACGCTACCAGAACTCTGTGTTATTTGTATTCTCTGCCTTTTTTTCCTTCGTTAAATTTGCCAGTAGTCAACTTTATTAATGTTTTCAAAAAACCAATTTCTAGTCTTGTTGATTTTTTCTGTTGTCTTTCTATATTTTCCATTTCATTGATTTCTACTCAAATCTTTATTATTTCCTTTCTTCTGGTGACTATAGGCTTTCCTTGCTGTTCTTTTACTAATTGTTGGAGATGTTGGTTCAAAGTGTTGATTTTGGCTCTTCTTTTTTGATGTGTGTATTTATTGCTATAAATTGGCCTCTGATTACTGCTTTTGTGATGTCCCAAAGATTTTGGTATGTTGTGTTTTCATTCTCATTTGATTCAAGGAATTTCTTAATTTCATTTTTTATTTCTTCTTTTACCCAGTCTTTCTTAAGGAGGATGTTGTTCAATTTCCATATGTTCACTCTTTTTCCGTTGATCTTCCTATTGTTGATTTCTAATTTGATAGCACTGTGATCTAAGAAGATGCTTCGTAGTATTTCAATGTTTTTAAATTTATTAAAGCTTGCTTTATGGCCTAAAATATGGTCTATCCTGGAGAATGTTCCATGTGCACTGGAAAAGAATGTATATTGTGATGTTGTTAGGTGAAATGTCCTGTAGAAGTCTACATGGTCAATTTGATGGAATGTATTGTTTAGCTCTTCTGCATCTTTGTTGAGTTTCTTTCTAGTTGTTCTATCTTTCATTGAAAGTGGTATATTAAAGTCTCCCACTATGACTGTTGAGTCATCTATTTGCCTCTTCAATTCTGTTAAAAGTCTGATTTATGTATTTTGGGTCTCTTTCATTGCATCCATAGCTATTTATTATGGTTCTATTTTCTTGTTAAATTGATCCTTCATTATATAATGTCCTTCTTTGTCTTGTATAGTGGTTTTTGTCTTAAAGTCAATTTGATCAGAAATTAATATTGCCACTCCTGCTCTTCTATGGTTTTCATTTGCTTGATACTATCTTTTTCCAACGTTTGATTTTTAGTCTATTTTTGCCTTTGTCTCTAAAGTGTGTCTCTTGTAGACAGCATATTGAGGGGTTATGTTTTCTTATCCAGTCTGCAACTCTCCATCTCTTGAGTGGTGTATTTAATCCATTGAACACTCAGTATAATTATCAACAAGTATGAATTGGTTGCTGTCATTTTGTTACATGTTTTTTCATGGTGTCCCTGGTTTCTTTGTTCCATATAATTTTCTGTGCTGAGTTCATTTTGTTGATGAATTATGGTATCATATCCTTTGTTGCTATTGTTTTAATATTTGCTAAATATCTGTGCTTGTCCTCTTTTTATTGTGATGTGAAGGTTTATCATTTTTCTTTGAGGTTGCCCTGTGATTCATAATTTTGTCCCTGAGTTTAGAACAGTCCATTCTATCTTGCAACTTTTTTAAAAAATGCATTTCATTGAAATATAATTTATGTACAGTGAAATACACAAAACTGTGTATTTCAAAAAATACACAAAAAAGTGACATGGGTTAATGCATTTTTTTTTTTTTTTTGCAGAGTTCCCTTCCCTCTCCTCCCACCCCTGGCAACCAACAAAGTTTCTCTCCAATCTTTCCTTGACCCGCACAACAATGAACTAATACTATCTTTGTCCTTCTGTGATTGACTTATGTCACTTAGCAGAATGTCCTCCAAGTTCATCTATATTATGTGGTGTTTTGCAGACTCTACATTATTCTTTAGTGCTGCATAGCATTCCATTATGTCTATGTACCATAGTTTGGTCATCCACTCTTCTACTTTAAATCTTAGAGATAAGTCCCTTGCCAGATATGTAATTATTGGCAAATATGAATTTGTTGCTCTCATTTTTCTTATGTGCTTTTTTGTGGTGTCGATATCTTTGTTCCATATAATATTCTATGCTGAGCTCATTTTGTTTACGAGTCATGTTATCACTTCTTTCATTGCTATTGTTTTAGTATTTGCTGAATATTCATGCTGGTCCTCTTTTGTGATGTGAAGGTTTATCATTTTTCTTTGAGGTTACCCTGTGATTTATAGTGTTCTTTCCAAGTTTAGAATAGTCCATTCTATCTTGTAGTTGTCTTGTCTTCCCTACCATCTAGAAGGTCTGTAATGACAC